TGAAAAAACATGTAAACATTTTAGATATTTCTTAGCAAAACATTTTAAATATTGTGTAAAACAAGCAAGCTCTACTTTTATCCACACACTTTTTTCCAACATAAACTTTCTTCAAAAAAGAAATATGAACTAATGTTTTAAAAGTTTAATAACTGTAATAAACTAAATCTATATACATGGAGCACATTTAAACAAAGGTTATTGTAAGGTAAATAATAAAAAAATTATGATAAATGAGTAAAAAAAATACCTTTTTTTAAAAAAATTAAATGTTTTATTGAGATGGATTATTGGTGATTGGATGGGTTTTAGCCAGATTGGGCAGCGATACATAAAGGAAAATTAAACCCGTTTAAGACCTACAACACAACATTTCAGTAGATTTAAGACTTTTTAAGGTTAACATTTAGATTTTGAGATTTAAGACATTTTAAGACCCCGCAAAAACTCTGTCAAACCCGAAAATAATTATTTTATTTGCCCCATTATTTTGATTATCTTAAGGGGGGAAAAAAAGAGTTTTCACTTATTTTTAAAAATAAATATCCTTCTTGATTTGAGAATTTTTTAGGTACACTGTAAAATAATATTCATTAAATTTACTCTTAAAGGTACTAAAAGGTATGTGGTTGCAGACTATTTATGTGTTGACCATTACTCAATTTGTTTGTTTAAATTCAGCCCATATAAAGAGTTTGCAACCACTACCTTTTCACCAATTTGTAAATCCAATGAATACATTTTGTCAGTGTATTTGGACTAGAAACAAGACAAAAAAAAAACTCTGAAGAAAAGTATTTTTTGCAGTATAAAAAGTACAAACATGGGCGATCCAGAGGCGGTGTAAATCGCTACATGTGTGTGTGTGGGCATGTGTGACTCACTGATCCAGGAATACAGACGAGAGATCCTGCATCTTTAGAGCTCTGACCAGCGGAGGGGATACGCTGTGTGGGCTCCTTGTGACTCACCAGTCTATCAAAGAGTTACCCGAGCTTACCCTCTCTTTAGATATAAAGTGTGTGTGGCCATTTTGCAAAGGCTTTTCATCTCAGGAATATCCCATGTGTTTGAAAGCTATTTTGATATTCAGTGCTGTTTTTAATGTTTAATGAAAACTGAAAACAACAGTTCATTAAATAATATTGAAGAGAAAGTTCACAAAAGAATGAAAACGTCATGATTTATTCTCCCTTTAAACCTTTATGAGTTTCTTTCTTCAGTTGAACAAATTTAAGTGGATTGAACATAAAACGATTACGTTGTCCCAAAGAAATCTCAAGAACTGCATTGTTTCAGCTCATTTTAAATAATAGTAACAAGCAGCAAAGTCATCTTTCTGATTGTAGTATAGAAAAATACTGAAGTCAATGGGTGCCAGCTACCAACATTTTTCTACATATCAAGTTCAACAGAAGAAAAAAAAACCCAAATAATTCAAATAGTAGGGTAGGTGAATGATGGCAGAATTCTTAAGTTTTAGGTGAGCTATCCCTTTAAGAGCTACATAACTTTCATTTTAACAATATAGGATCAAAACGTAAGATTCTTTAAATAACAAATAATGATATTTTGAATAAATTTTAAGATATTTCTCTACATTAAAATGTCTGTTCACCCAGAAATGTAATGCTTTAAATGATTACAGTATATGTATGTATGTATGTATATATATATATTATTTTGGAGATAATTTATCCTTTAATTAAGATTTTAAAATAGCCGTTTCATTGTTAGTTTCTAAATCAAATGTTAATGAATGGATCCTTATTGTAAAATTTTACTACATTTGCTTATATTCCAGCCTGATTTACATAGGTTTTGAAAGGTGGTGATTTTCTATTTATTCATCTAATGTGATTTCTATTGAAATATATTTATTATACTGTCACCGTGGTGTTATCTTTTCATAGGGCATGCATTTGTACCTAAAGCAGTGGAGTCAAAGTCAATTCCTGGAGGGCCGGAGCCCTGCAGTTTAGTTCCAGTCCTTCTTTAACACACCTATTTGTAGGTATCAAACAAGCCTAAAGCACTCAGTTAGTTTGATTAGGTTTTTTTTTTTTTTAAATTAGGGTTGGAACTAAACTGTGCAGAGCTGCGGCCCTCCAGGAACAGGCTTTGACACCTGTAAACCTAAAATTCGTGCCATATTGGTACCAAAAAAAGCTAATTGAAAAAGCTAAGTGAACATCTTAAAATTGTTAGGTATGAATACTGTATGTGCCTTTGAGGGAACAGCATGGACTAAATTATGTCAACACGTTAAGAATAGTACAATAGACCCACCAAAATTCCCCTACAAACACAACATTTAAAGCCATCTGTCCCAGCACTGTTCATCAAAACTCCAAGAGAAAGAAAAATGTCCATGTGTCTTAAAATAAAATTCTAGAAAGTTCTGCATAGTTACAATAATGCAAAATAATTTAATAATATACAGTCAGAATTCTTAGCCCCCTAGTTTATTTTTCCCCTCAATTTTTGTTTAACGGAGAGAAAATTTCTTTAGCACATTTCTAATCATAATAGTTTTAATAACTTATTTCTAATAACTGATTTATTTTATCTTTGCCATGATGACAGTAAATAATATTTGACTAGATGCTTTTTAAACACTTCTATACAGCTTAAAGTGACATTTAAAGGCTTAACTAGGTTAATTAGGTTAACTAGGCAGGTTAGGGTAATTAGGCAAGTTATTTTATAACATTGATTTGTTCTGTAGACTATCAAAAAAATATATAGCTTAAAGGGGCTACTAATATTTATGATAAAATAGTGTTAAAAAATTAAGAACTGTTTTTATTCTAGCCAAAACAAAACAAATAAGACTCTCTCCAGAAGAAAAAAATATTATCAGAAATACTGTGAAAATTTCCTTGCTCTATTAAACATCATTTGGGGAATATTTGAAAAAGAAAAAGAAATTCAAAGGGGGGTTAATATTTCTGACGTTAACTGTATAATAATTATATAAATAATAATATATAGCAATATTTACATAAAAAATATAAATGTAATATAAATAACAATAAAAAACAGAAAGAAAGATATGTTGATTACAAATTAAGTTTTATTAGGCAATACTGAGCACAATCAATACAAATATCAATTCCGACAAATGACGCGTATTCTGTGTATTTCTCTTTTTCTTTCATTATTAGAGCATCATACTCTAAACTTTTATATTTTAGCATTTTGAACAGTTATGGCAGTTAGAGAGTGAATTTCAGAGTCATTTACATGGTTGCTAGACGGCAACTGAAGCTTCTTTGTTTTATAATTATTATTAAACATGCAGTTTTATGACATCATTCTAAAAACACCTGCAATGGACATACATTAAGCTGGTTAACCTTTGTAAACATCACATATACAACAAAACATATTGGTGCTGTCTAATATTAAACATTTTTAAACACCGTAAAAAGCAATTCGTTGAACTTATTTGAAAAAGTGAGTAAATCCATTGCTTTTAAAATGATGAAGTGACTTAAAATGATTAAGTAAATTGAACTGTGCATTATTATAAAAATTCAGTCACCTAACAGTTCAAGCTACAACAGGTTTACTTAGGTTAACTAAAGTAAGTCGCTTTTTTACTGTTTAGATCAGTATGCTAACTAATCATTGTCATACATTTGTGTGAATATACATTATTTGAAATACAATTTGATTATTTAGATTAGGGCTGCACAAAATTCAGCATTGATATCGCAATGTGCACACCCACAATAGTCAAATCGCAACATATTGTATTACTGTATTTATACGGAATATATATGATTTATGCAACAAAAGTAATGCGTGATTTTTTTTCCTTACCTTTTTAGCAAACTTTTTTTTTTCTTTTCAAGTCCAAATATCCACATTTCAAAGCAAAAACAAGACTATTTTACTTAACCCATTAGAAAGATAATTTCGCTTGTTTTAAGGAAAAAACTCTTCATTTTGACTTCTTTCTTCTCAAGGAAACAAAACAATAATCTTACTTGATCTAAGACTGTTTAGATATTTAGACTAGAAAGCAAAGCAAACTAAGAATTCCCACTGTGTTTATTCAATTTCTATACCTGAAAACTTTTGGGCTCTCTAGAAAACCATCAAGCTATCTTGTGAAATTGCATTCATATCGCAATATTTTTAACAGAAAAAAAAAGTAATATCGCAGTATCCTTCCCCCCCCACCCCTCATTATCATGCAGCCCTAATTTAGATACAAAAAGATATAACAAGAATTTTAAATGACAAAATTCTTGATTTACATAAGTATTTTTAGAAAAAAATGGCATTAGTAAATAGGTCTGTCACATAGCACATTTTTGATAACACATTAAAGTAAGGTAATATTAGTTCATATATTTACGAAGATGAACAAACATCAAACAACGTATTTATTACAGTATTTATTAATCTTTGTTAACATTAACTAAAGAAAATATGGTTTTTGGTAACACTTTAGTTTAGGTCACAGTTCACGATATTAAACTTTTTACGAACACTAGTACTAGCATAATAAACTACTAATTAGGTGTTTAATAATAGTAAGTCAGAAGTTTAGTTTAGGTTTTGGATAGGATAAGGGGTGCAGAATAAGATCATACTTTATAACTACTGATGAACAGTTAACATACAGGCAGGTGAAAAGCCATGAATTGAGAGTTGTTCATAGTCAGTATTCACAGTGGATAAACTAATGTTAACAATCATGAATTTGGATTTTAATAATGCATTATTAAATATTAAACTAAGATTAATAAATGCTGTTCATTTAGTAAGTTTGTTAGTGTTCATGTTAGTAAATATATTAACTAATAATAATGAAAACTTAAAGTAAAGCGTGACCCGCTTTACTTACTAAACAGCGCCATCTAGTGAATTTGCATGTGTTTGTTTATATGTTGCGATCACAAAAAAAAATCTAAGAAAATTGCTATAAATCACACATTTAGCAACTTTTGTGGTTTGATACACAGAAAGCAATGTAGCATATAGGCCTGTCACAATATGGCAATTATCAATACATATCGCACAACACATGGACGTGTCAGCAGAATCATTTCTGCTAATGCAATATATATATACTTAAATCATACTTAAAAAACAATTCTAGCAACATTTTATCTGATTGCACAACATCTCTATACATGTTGGAGTTGTCAGTAGCGTTAAAAAAACACAGTAGCATTTACTACTAATTACTTTAGTATATTTTCATGTGGGTGTCTGACAACTGAAAATGGATCTGGTAGCAGATATCGCAGCCTCTGTTACTTTTACCTTTTAAATAACATTAATTATTATTTATTTGTTTAAATATAGATTTTCCCATTCTGATTCCAGTGCCTAATTATTAAATAGTTACAATGACTATCATTAAAGGAAATATTCTTAATAATACAATAGTATGTGTTCTTTGGAAGAGTGTACTTACATTATGATGCTATTGTCATTCCGGCATTAAATAATATGTTGAGAGGCATAGAATGCAATAAAATGACAATAATATTGTTTATCGCAGTATATTTTGAAGCGCAACAAGAAATAGATATGGTGACAGGCCTAGTAACATACTGGTTTAGTACTGCAAATAATCTTCCATGTCTTTTTCTCCTTTGTGCATTGAAAGAGAAAATACTGCACAGTAATTCAGCTTCCACTGGATTGATGGTATTTTTGTGGAACTCACTACTTTCGGACTGGAGACTTGGGCAGAGTTTGGGATCTGGAGTAGTTTTTAGCGTCTGGCTCATAGGCTTGGTTGTCGTAGGGGTGCACGTGCTCCTTCAGGTTGTGGGTGTCGTAACGGGGGATGCGGATGGAGCTCATGACTGTCACCGTCTTGCCGTCTTTCTTGCCACAGCTGAATGGACGACATTTAACAGTGTGTTAGGAAAATCAAAAGGATTTATAAAAGGAGATAGCACATCCAAAAATGAAACTCTCCTCATTTACTTGCAAACACGTGGTACTAAACTTTTATGAATAAACTTCTTTATTCTGTTGAACAAAATAAACAGCCAACATTTTCAAAATATTTTCTTCTGCGTTCAACAGAAGAATGAAACCCAAAGGGGGTTTGGAACAAGTGGAAGGAGAGTAAAAGATGTCATTTTTCATTTTTGGGTGAAGATTGGATGCAATTATATATTACAAACAGGAGAATTAGATGTATTTCAGACGGTTACTAAATATCATAAATTAGGGTGTAGCAAAATATCATCACATTACATTACACATTACAAATATTCTACACATTACAAATATTCTTCAATATAGGGTGGGTATAGGAACAAGATGTTCAAAATGAAAGTTTAGACCAGATTATTTAGGATACCTTATAGTAATGGCATACAACCAATAAGGTCATACATTTTTATTGCCATTTTAAATACATAATTCTGTATTTGTACTTAAGAAATATGTATATTTTTAATTCTTGTGTCACCAAAATTTTCAATGAACATTGAAAAACATATTTTTTTAAATTATGTATTATTATTATTATTATTTAAAAATAATAATAAATAATAAACTCTTAGTATTTTTATTTTATTCTGGCTTTATTAGACATGTATTTATGTATGACCACTAATATTTATAATATATCTGATATCTTTTAAATAATTTTAAAAAGTACAGACATGACATTGGCTAGATACCATAAAAGTCTGAATTTATAATATTGTAAACCAGTATGGTCATACATTATTATTGCCAATAATTTTGTATTTTGACTTAAATGTATAATATTTTTTTATATTCTGGTGTCAACACATATGCTAGATTAAACATTTTATTCAAATTAATCTAATTTTAGAACTTTTAAAATCATAAATCATGAGTTAAAACAATTTTTTTTATTAAAATCTTAATATTTCACATTTATTCTGGCTTTATTAAAGTGGAGATTCAGTTATGCATAAGCCACAAACACTCATATTATATCTGATAGATTTTAAATAATTATTTTAACTATAGACATACTGGATACTTACCATAGAAAACTCTGAGTTTATAATGTTTACTGCAAAATTCACAATTTAATTAGGAGTAAAGCAATTAAATGCTTGATTAAATCTGGATAAAGTTTGTCAGACAATACAAGTACTGGAACTAATAATAATAAAGAATAATATCAATAACAATTAGGGATGTACACTAAAAATGTAATGACAAAAATTCAAGACAACAAATATCACTATGTCTCTTTAACCTACTTTAATAAGTTAGTCAGGTTTCAATAAATCTTAGTTGAAGTTATACAACGTTGACCTTCATCTTAGAATGTATACCTTCATATTTTTAGTCAGATAGATTGATTCAAGTTGGAAGACTAGAGAAGTTAATTTGATTCAACTAATAAATTTAAGGCAGCAAGATGTTTTTACAGTGTACTAATACCAAAATTCTGGCCGAAATTAAATAACTATATATTTGGATGCGTAGATACTTAGGCCAATAAATAGAAAAATTGGAAATAAAGTACTCTAAGGCCCATCTCAAAAGCAAAATGCAAACAAAAACATTAGACAGCTACTTTTATTTTAAAACCTCAACTGCAGAAAACAACAACACCGATTCACAATTCTGAAATCCTCTTTTTTTTCTCTGTGAAACTCCCACATTTCTGACACCAACCAGCAGAAATAATCCTTATCTTATTGCCCGATAATTTATCTTTAATAAAAATAGCATTAAAAATGAGCATTTATAGCCTGATACTGATATGGCTGCCAATAGTGTAAACGTATCATAATTGTAAAAATCATTATCAAAACCAACCATGAATTGTGTCAGTACACCCCTAACTATGAAGGAAATATATATGTAAATTGCCTGAAAATAAACAATACGATGGCATTGAAAACTATTTAGACCCATCAGAAATAATATATGATGGTATATCCTTTAAAGTGAAGCTGACGTAGTTTTACTCACCAGGATACACACAGCATGATGAAGAAAACCAGCAAAAGCAGAGCCACGGCCACACAGAGGAGTGTAGTGATGACAACCATGGCTCCAGATCTGGCACTGAGACCGTCATTGATGGTTTGATAGCTTAGCACTGTAAGAGCAGATTATTAGAGAGAATAAGTCAAATGTATACAGGAGTATGAACACTAATTCAACTTATTAGATATTATAGATTCTTACGTGTGGTTAGATTAAAGGGGCCACCCCAGTTGGTCATATTAACAACAGTATAGTTGCTGGGGTCGATAAGAAGATACCTGAAACTGTAAGACGGAAATGATTACATTAAATATAGCAAGATGGTAAAAGCAAATGTCCACTTTACTCACTTAATTGACAAAGTAATGTATTAAAAAATGAAACCTTCTAAGTATGCAGCTTTAAATTATTTGCAGAAATTTCACTAAAGTACTTAAAGGGTAGATATGCTAATTTAGTTTTTAACACTTGAGCTAATTTAGCCATTTAAAGAATGCATTAAATCTAGTGATGGGCAAAGATTAATTGTGATTAAACTCATCCAAAATGAAAGTTCCTTTTGGCATAATATATGTGTTTATTGTGTATATTTGTTTTGTATATATAAATGTGTCCATGCATGTATATTTTTGAGAAAATGTTAATTTATTTTTAGATATAAAATATATGTACAGTTGAAGTCAAAATTATAAGCAGCCTTCACATTTTTTTCTTCTTTTTTAAATATTTTCCATATGATGTTTAAGAGAGCAAGAAATTTTCACACTATGTCTGATAATATTTTTTCTTCTGGAAAAAGTCTTATTTGTTTGATTTCAGCTTAAATAAAAGCAGTTTTTAATTTAAACACAATTTTAGGGACAAACCTATTGGCCTCTTTAAGCTATATTTTTTCTCAATAATCTACAAAACAAACCATCATTATACAATAACTTCCCTAATTACCCTAACCTGCCTAGTTAACCTGATTAACCTAGTTAAGCCTTTAAATGTCACTTTAAGCTGTATAGAAGTGTCTTGAAAAATATCTAGTTAAATATTAAAACTATTATGTTTAGAAATGTGTTGAAAAAAATCTTCCCTCCGTTAAACAGAAATTGGGGAAAAAATAAACAAGCGGTCTTATAATTCAGGGGGGCTAATAATTCTGACTTCAACTGTATATGATACAAATTATATATATAGACTACTTTATTTCTATGCAAAAACAATATTTCTGTATTGTTTTGTATATAATAACTATAGATAATACACATGCAGGTCTTTAATGTCAAAACAAACTTTCATTTTGAATGTGATTAATCTTTGCCGAGCACTAATCAAATGTAAATGAGAGTATAGTTGGATTTTTGTAATCTCTAAAAAATAATAATTCTCTAAAATTACAGTTTTACAATTAACCCAAATCGTGTTTAAAATAGGGCTGTCAACCGATCATTTGTTGTTGTTGTTGTTGTTATTAATTACGTTGCAATCAATTGATCTAATTAACCAAACATTCAATTTCATTGACAAAATACCCTTAAAATGTAATTGAAACAATACTTTACATACTAATACATTTAATATAAAGCCCTCTGAATTGTTAGCCCCCCTGTTTTATTTTTCCCCAATTTCTGTTTAATGAAGAGAAGATTTTTTTTCAACACATTTCTAGACATAAAAGTTTTAATAACTCATCCCTAATAACTGATTTATTTTATCTTTACCATGATGACAGTAAATAATATTTGACTAGATATTTTTCACTTCTATACAGCTTAAAGGGACATTTAAAGGCTTAACTAGGTTAATTAGGCAGGTTAGGATAACTAGGTCAGATATTGTAAAACTATATATAGTTTTTATAACCATACTTAACATAAAATGCATTGCACATAACTTTTAAGACTACAATGGTCAAACAAACCATTTAAAGCAGAAAACTAAATATTAGAAATCTTTTTTATACAATGAAAGTGAATGGTAAACAAATCAGCTTAGCTACCAGTATTCTGCATTATTCTTTCATATTTAGGAGTCATATAAGAATGTACACTGCAAAAAAGAAAATATCCGTAAATTAGCAACTTTCTGTATTTTGACTTTTCCCTTTATTTATGCTTTTAAATTGCATTATGGGACCTTGATCTATCTCACAACAACCTATAACCTTGAAAAGTTTAAGAAAGTGACTTTTATTGACACTTTTGATAGTTTAAAGTGATATATTGTCAGAGCTGATGTTGCATATTAAAGCAAAAAAAAAAAAAAAAAAACTTGTAATAAACTGCCAGTACATTTTCAGTTACTTAACAGACGTTTGGCCAGTGGAGAAATGGTCGTACCCATCTGAGCCTGGTTCTCTCAAGTTTTTTTTTTCTTTACTTTTGCAAATTGGTTGAAGTTTTTTTTTTTTTTTCCTCGCCGCTGTCGCCACTAGCTTGCATGGTTCGGGATCTGTAAAGCTGCATCAATGGATTTGCTCTTCAGTGTTAGGACTCTCAGTAGTGATTATTAAACCACACTGAACTGAGCTAAACTGAACTGAACTTACACTTTAAAAACTAAACTACACTATTTCAATTTACTATGATATTTTGTGTGAAGCTGCTTTGACACAACCTACACTGTAAAAGCGCTATACAAATAAAGGTGAATTGAATTTATTTTCTTTATATTATTTAATATACATTCATACATTTTTTTAAAACCACAAAATGCCAATAAAAGTCACTGTTAAACTGTAAAGTTGAATTTTCAACATTAAAAGTCGACATGGCAGAGATCTAATATCCAACATCCAATAATGCAATTCACAACCGTAAATAACAGAAATTTTTACAAAGTAGGAAATGTCAGATTTTATATTTTTTTGTATGAATTATCCCTTTATTGTTTTAATTGAATAATATGGAAAAGTGTTTGTGTTTTTTTAAAGTGTTTATTTAGCTAAAACTGCCAGTGGGTGTCAGTAATTAGGTGTCTTAGCTTAATTAGCAAACTTAAATCAGACATAGTTTTTAACAAAAAATCCCACATACAAGTTTTTACTTTTTGGATATGGATGCATCACCATGTTAAAGATATGCACATATTTGTAAAACCGGTCTCTCTTGGTCATGATGTAGCAGGAGAGGGACTTTCCTTCGCACTACAAACTCATTTATTCATTTAAACTACGGATTCATGCAGGAATTAACTAAATGGCTCTCGTTATGAAAGAAATTTATTCATTGGTTAATCTGATTAGTTCAAATGTATAATAAATGTAATATGTTAACCAAATGTACATGTAGTAGATTTATTCAGAAAGGAAGCACTGCTGTGTGCTGATCAGAGACACATAACGGTTCTGTTGTGGTTCTTATGGAATAATGCTCATGAAATATTGCTTGCAACCTTTCTTAAAATCTTATATATCTTCAATTTCAGATCTTCAATTTCAGGTACACATATCACTGCTACATCATACAATGAGTATCATATTTGTCACCAATTAACTGTATATAGTGTGATTTATATTAACCTTTCATAATTTAATTAATTAATGTGTTAAATCGACTTTAAGATTTTAAGAATACCCGAATTCAATCTAAAACAAAGTTTGACACTGTAATGCATTACCTAACAATGGATCCAACAGGTAGTACTCCATTACAGTTGATGCCTGTACAAATCCCATCCGCTCCAACTGTGAAGTATGGAAAAGCAGGGGCCGTATTACAGGGGAAGTTTGCCAGAGGACCAACTCTGGTCAGAAAGAACTGTGCTGATGATGGGAGGAAAGCTGTTGGGTATGGTGACACACTGAGGCTGATGGGGGATGAGATGTTCACTAGAGCGTTGAAGTTGCCCGTTCCTAAAGATGAAGTAGATGTAAACATTTATTTTTAAGCATTTATGTCTGATAAAATTATACAATTTCCATGAACATGTTGGCAGTGAAATCTTGGCTGCGAATAAAATGTAAATCTACACAACCTTTACAAGAGAGAATTTTGATAAAGCTGCAGGAGTTTAAGATTACGGTCATATACTTAAAAGAACGTCAATTAGCATGTTGCCAGCATGGTTCTAGTATGGTTTAACATTTTGATAGCATGATTTAGCGTTTAACATTTAGCACATTTTACCACATGGCATGTTATCAAAGTTTTAAATGTTTACCAATTGGCTACCAAGAACTACCTTCTACTTTCTACAATGTTTAAAATGTTGCTGGCAAATTTATAGCATGTTTTACCACATTAAACATGTTTCTAGCATGATTACAGTGTTGTTAGCATTAATTATGTTGTTAGCAGTGTCTAGCATGGTTAACATTGGATAAATTGGCATGTTGCTTGCATGTTTCTAGAATGTTTGACAATGTTAGCATTAATTATTTATGTTTCTTGCTTAAAATTGTTAGCTTGAATTGGCATGTTTCTAGTATAATTGGTGGTATGCTTCTTACATGTCAAGCATATTGATAGCATGACTAAGCATGTTTAACATTTAGCACATTTTATCACAAAAAATGTTGTCAAAGTTTTTAACGTTTACCAAACAAGAACTACCTTTTACTTTTTAAAAAGATTAACTTATTGCCAGCAAATTTCTAGCATGTTATACCACATTAACCATGTTTCTACAGTGTTGTTGGCATTATTTATGAATTAGCATGTTTATTTGATGGTGTTTCTGACATGGTTAGCATGTGGATAGCATGATTTAGTATGTTCAACATTTAGTACATTTTATAACATGGCATGTTAAAGTTTCTAACTTTAACCAATTAGTTAACAGGAACTACCTTTTACGTTCTTTCTAGAGTGTGTAATATGTTATTAGCAGATTTATAGCATGTTTTACCACATTAACCATGTTTCGAACATGATTACAGTGTTGTTGGCATTAATCATGCTGTTAGCAAGGTCTAGCATCATTAACATGGCTTGGATGAATTGGCACGTTGCTAGCATGTTTCTAGAATGTTTGCCTTGATGTTAGCAATTAATTATTTGCTGTTGGCATGCTTCTTGCTAAAACTGTTAGCATGAATTATCATGCTTATTTGTTTGTATGTTTCTAACACAGCACAATGATAGCATGATTTAGCATGTTTAATATTTAGCACATTTTACCACATGATGTGTCATCAGTTTTTAATGTTTACTAACATTAGCAAACATGAACTACCTTCGGTTTTTTTTTCTAGACTGTTTAACAAGTTGCTAGCATGTTTTACCACATTAAACTTGTTTCTGACATGATTACCATATTGTTAGCACTATTTATGTTGTCAGCAATGTCTAGAACAGTTAACAATCTAGAATGTTTGCCATATTGTTAGCACAAATGTATTGTTAGTTTTTGTTGTTATGCTTCTAGCTAAAACTGTTAGCATGCATTGGCATGTTCATTTGATGGTATGGTATGTCTCTAACATGGTTAGCATATTGATAGGATGATTTAGCATGTTTACCATTTAACACATTTTACCACATAGAATGTTGTCAAAGTTTTTAACTTTAACCAATTGGCTAGCCTTTTACTTTCTACACAGTTCAACATGTTGTTAGCTAATCTCTAGCATATTTTAACATGTTTTTAACATGATTACAATGTTGTTAGCATTAATTATGCTGTTAGCAATGTCTAACATAGTTAACATTATTTGGACGAATTGGCACTTTTCTAGCATGTTTCTAGAATGTTTTCCATAATTTTAGCATGAATTATTTTTTAGTATGTTTCTTGATAAAACTGTTTTAGAATTAGCATGATTCTAACATATTTAGTGGTATGTTTAACATGGCTAGCATAGTTAAAATAACAAAAATGTAATGAAAAATGTATAAGATACAAACAAATAAATAAAACAAATAAAAGATTTTAATTGAGCCGACACCTCTATCCCAAATAGACAGCTATCCCAAACAGCTTTTATTTTTATCTTTAAAGCGTTTTACCCGTGCTCAGCGCAGCCACCAGCCAGATCTCACACCCAGGACAGGTCTGAGTAAAAACACAGTACGGCTGCTGCAGGATCACTGTATTGCTAGTGATTCGGCCTAGGAAATTAGCAGGTGCAAGCTGAGGCTGGAATATCTGACCTGAAAACATACAAACAAATTTTGTCAAGTGACATCATTGATCAAACCGTGACCCTCATTGAAGTCTGTCAGAGATTTACTTGCACCTGTCATGGGGAGAAAGGATTATGCAACCCTGGCCAAACCCAAACACTGTAATTACAGTGGTACAGGTGTAGTATTGGTGGGAAACTGGCCAAAAATTCGACATGCAGGCCCAGACTTGCCTCCTCTAGTGTAATTCTCAAGAGTCTCTATATATCAGATCAAAAACTTGATAAATCAGATTTTAAAACTTGTTTGAACATGACATGAGTGAGTTTTTAAAGTCAGTGATTCTTAACTGTCTGGTGCCATCTTGCGACTGAAATAAATAAATGATGATACTAAAGCTGTATTCAGCCGGTCGTTTTCATTCTGCAATCTTTAAGTTTATAATATTACAGTATAATATTACGATTTGGATCAATGATTTGTGTCCAATTGTTTAATTATGTGGCAAGCAGTCATGTAATAAAGTGAGATAATGTACATCCAACTTAGTATAAAGCTATTAAGTCAGTGCTCCACTTTGTTTTTGGCTGCTAATAAACTTGTCTGGCATTATTCTACAATTCTCACTCACTCACTCACTCACAGAAATGAGGTTTATTGTTTCACCTCATTTAAAATAAGCTGAAACAACATTATTCTTGAGCTTTTTTTGGCAGGACTTAATTGTTATTTGTTCAACCCACTTAAATTTGTAAAAACTAGTAAGTTAACCTAATTCATTCAGGTTGTTCCAACACAAATCTATTGTGTAGAACCCAGCAATTTTTGCAGTGCTTATATTACAGTTACCACACCTAAAGTTATTGTTCAAATGTTATATTTCAAGAGATGTATGGCTTTTGTCTACTCGTGTGTGTTGGGTTAATTGTTTTCATGCAACTTTTTTAAAGTCTTTTGTTTGGTTTTGATGTGATTTTGAATGTTGTACGTTGGAAAATAACTAAAATAACGAATTCAGTGTACATTGCAAAACCACTGTTAACTTTATCAAATGAAATTAGTTCTACTCATTTAAAAAGTTTTGAACTCAGTGTTGAAGGTAATGAGTTCATTAAATAGCTCATTACTTAAACTTCAATGGAGTAAGTTCATAGTACTAGTATAGATTAGTTGTTTCACTTAAATGGTTTGTAGCAATCGGTTTCCTCAAATGGTTTGAGTTGCCTTAACTTATTGGGTTTTACAGTACTCAGTTGGTTTGAGTTCTCTTCATTTATTGGGTTTTATTGTGCTCAAATTGCTTCTTTTACTCAAATGGATTACTCACAGTACTCATTAAGATTAGTTTCTGAAATGGTTTATTGCAATCAGTTTCCTCAAGTAGTACTGCAAAATATCTGCAAAAATGCTGGGTTCCACACAATCAATTTGTGTTGGGACAAAAAAAACAAAAATAAAAAAAGGAATTAGGTTAACATTACCTTTTGGGTTTTACAGTGTAGTGATACACACTGAAAAAAATGATGTCTGCAAAACTGTTGCAAACAATTTATGTGTTGAATTTAAACTAACAAATTAAATGCCGTAATGTTTAACTTTATTTGTTTGTTTAAATTCAGCCCAAATAAATTGTTTACAACCACTCAACTTAAAGTTAAATCTACTTAAATTTAGCAAATCCATGGAATAATCTTTAAATTTTTTTTTTTTCCAGTGTAAAATTGTAATGCAGTCAGGATCTGGCTGCAACTACTTTAAATGTGCGTTTTAATAAAAAACAATTATGCAAATGCTCATTAACCAATTAGAATCAAGCATTCAACAGCCCCATAAAATTAAAAATATAAATAAATAAATAAATATGAATGTGAATATTTACAATATCTGAACAATATGACAATTGATTTTTAAAGCTTAAAAATAAATGAATTTCTAAATAATATTAGTTGAATTTATAAACAAGGTAAAAAATAATTAGCTATCTTTTTTATTATTACAATTTTTAGCTAAAGTTTTATTTCCCAAGTGATGTTTAATGGAAGATATTTTCACAGTATCTCCTTCAATATTCATTCTTCTGTGCAAAGTCTCATTTCTTTTAGCTTGGTATGAATAAAAGCCGATTTATTTTTTTTTAAGATCAATGTTATTAGCCCCCATGAGAATTTTTTTATTTTTATTTTATTTATGTCGATTGACTCACTGTTGTCCAGTAACTTGCCTAATTAACCTAATCTTAAGTCTTTAATTTGCACTTTAAGCTGAATACTACTATCTTGTAAAAACACATACAAATATATTATTTCAAAAAAAAATGTGTTGAAAAAAAAAACTGTTAAGTAACACTTGGTATATAATTTTTTAAAAAGAATTCTAAATAAGTTTTCCAGACATGCAGGGGCATTATAAAAGGAATTAACTCGTTTTTACAAATGTAAGTGGTTTGAACATAAACAATTAAGTTGTCCTCATAAAACCTTAAGAATTGCATTGTTTCAGCTCATTGTAAATAAGTAGTTTGAACAAATGTCATTTATTGAGTGTGATCAAAATGTTCAAAAGAATTTTACAAACTATACATGGTTGTTTGTTCAAAATACTTGCTAAATTATAAATCACTGAGAACATTTAGTGCATCCTAGGAAAATTCAACATGAAGCAAATTAAACAGAAGTTTTGTGCGCACTTCACCATGTTTAATGTGTTATTACAGATTATTAGCTCTTTAATGGGTCATTACAGATATTAGCTCTCTCAAAACCTAAAGGTAATGTCAAACAACACACCTAAACAATAAAACGAGTGCATTATTACATAACACAAAATAACAGCAAAATAAAAGAACATTACGAACTAAAACACACTTACCCTGTGCAGCCAACATCCAGATGGACAACAACGACACCAAACGGATCGCATTGTGTGTGTTCATCTTGTAACAGTGATGATGGTGAGAGATTCCACTGAATAAAATCCACAGCAGAAATCAACCCTGGGCCAGTGTCAATCAGCAATAACCCAGGCAGAAACTGATCAACTCCTATAAAAAGCAGCTGAAGGGAGGGGGGAAAGCTTTTCATGAAGGTGTGTATGAAGCCAAGGTAGAAACTAGGAGGTGCTTTGGGCAAAAGAAATGCTTCAAAATTCCAAACACTGACTACAGCAACTTTGTAAGCAGCGAAAAATGCCTGAATCACATATTAAAACGACTCAAACACGTTTTCAATGCCACAATTAGAACGCCAAGGTAGAGGCAACAACATGTGACCAACATTTCTGACTCTTGAATGGAAAATAAAGCAAAGAAAGAGAGAAAGGCTGCTACAATGACTAATGTTAAAGTCAACAAAGCCTCCAAATGCGGTGACTTCATTCCCATCAAACAGTGCACATGACGCCAGTTAGAATGACATCCAAACCAGAGGCGTGGAATTTATTAATATCAACAATTCAGGAGGCTTTTTTCATAATATCTTAAGGGTAGAGAATTACATTCTGTTGATTAATACCAAAAAACAGACATTTACTAAAATACAGCTTTTTAAAACAACATGAACTTGAGTGTTCTGCAACTTTAGCCAGTGTTTACCATCAAATAAACATAAATTGTGTTGGTCGGAGGTAAAACCAGCCTAACTAGACCTGCTTAGACTTGAAGCACTGTTGGTTATAGGTTGAAGTCATGACATATCATTAATTCGGGCAGCTTGTTTTTCATTATATCTTAAAGGTGAGGAATTAAATTCCATTGATTAATACCAAAAATCAGACAATTCATAAAATACATCCGTTTTAAACAATGTGGACTTGAGTGTCTGCAACTTTAGTGAGTGTTTACTATGAAATAAACCTAAATTGCATTTATCTGAGGTAAAATGAGCTTAGACCTGAAGCACCCTTGGTTACAGGTTGAAGTCATGACATATCAATAATTAGGGCCGCTTTTTTCATTAAATCTTAAAGGTGAAGAATTAAATTACATTGATAAATACCAAAAAACAGACATTTAATAAAAAACAGCCATATTAAAACAACGTGGACTTGAGTGATCTGCAATTTTAGTCAGTGTTTACTATCAAATAAACCTAAATTGTGTTTCTCTGAGGTAAAATCAGCTTAGACCTGAAGCACCCTTCGTTATAGGTTGAACTCATGACACATTATTAATTCGGGCAGTTTTTTTTCATAATATCTTAAGGGTAGAGAATTAAATTTCATTGATAAATACCAAAAAACAGATATTTAATAAAAACAGCCGTTTTAAAACATTTAGCATGTGTTTACCATCAAATAAACCTAGATTGTGTTTGTCTGAGGTAAAACCAGCCTCACCAGACCTTAGACTTGAAGCACCATTGATTATAGGTTGAAGTCCTAATATATTAATAATCCGGGCAGCTTAATACCAAACATCAGACAATTAATAAAATACAACTGCTTTCAAACAACGTGGACTTGTGTGTTCTGCAACTTCAGAGTGTGTTTACCATCAAATAAACCTAAATTGTGTTTATCAGAGGTAAAACCAGCCTAACTAGACCTGAGACTTGAAGCTCCGTTGGTAATATGGTTAAAGTCACTGGTATATCAATTCAGACAGCTTTTTTAATTATACCCTAATGGTAGAGAATTACATTCCATTGATAAATACCAAAAAACAGACATTTCATAAATTACAGCTTTTTAAAACATAAAACCAGCCTAACCAGACCTGCTTAGACTTGTAGCACCATTAGTTATAGGCTGAAGTCATTGGCATATCAATAATTCGGGCAGCTTTTTCCATAATATCTTAAGGGTGAAGAATTAAATTCTGGTCATCAACACAAAAATATGACATTTAATAAAATACAGCTTTATAAAACAACATGGACTTGAGTGTTCTGCATCTTTAGTGAGTGTTTACCATCAAATAAACATAAATTGTGTTGGTCTGAGGTAAAACCAGCTTACCCATACCTGCTTAGACTTGAGGCACCGTTGGTTAAGTCATGAGATATTAATAATTCGGCTTTTTTCATATATCTTAATGGTGGAGAATTAAATTCCATTGAAAAATACCAAAAATTCTGACAATTAATAAAATGCAGCTGTTTTAAAACTTGCTTAGACTTGAAGCACCAAAAGTTATAGGTTAAATTTCTAACATATCAATGATTCGGGCAGCTTTTTTTAAAATAATATCTTAATGGTAGAGATTTAAATTCCATTGATATATACCAAAAAACAAACATTTAATAAAATACAGCTTTTTAAAACAATGTAGACTTGAGTGTTCTGCCTCACCAGACCTTAGACTTGAAGCACAATTGATTATAGGTTGAAGTCCTAATATATCAATAATACGGGCAGCTTAATACCAAAAATCAGACAATAAAATGCAACTGCTTTAAAACAACGTGGACTTGTGTGTTCTGCAATTTTAGCAAGTGTTTACCATCAAATGAACATAAATTTTATTTGTCTGAGGTAAAACCAGCTTAACCAGACTTGCTTAGACTTGAAGCACTGCTGGTTATAGGTTAAAGTCATTGCCATTTTTTTCTCTAACGTTCCCTCTTTGTTTGAGGCTTTTGTGAATAGTATTAATGCTAAAAACACATATTTTATTTGCCAAAGACTGGACGGGCAAGTTTAGATCATGACGTACTCTGAAAGCAGTCTTTTTTGTATTTACAGAGTGGTACTGCAGGGTGGAGAGATTAATAATGTTTGATGCATTAAAGGAATGTGGTCCATTAGTGACTAATCAACAATTAGCACCGCTTGGCTCTTTCAGTGATTTTGTGTTTTGGTGAAAGCTGGGATTATTGTGCGCTTAGATGAAACACAGCCAATTAGAGATAATTTGTTAAAATCCTCAAAAGAATTGAATGTTTTTTTTAATGCTGCCATTTTAAGAGATCCTGATTGCACGAAGGATTTTAAAGTTAAGCATTAAATCTATTGTCGTATGTCTTTGTTAATATGAGCTCAGAAAAAAATGGGGTGTATAATAATTATAGACTTAAAGCAATCTACTTTTTCATATTTAAGCTTAAATAAGGGTTAAAATAGCTCAGATTTTACAGATGGCTCAGTTGTTTTAGTTCAGCTTCAGAAAAGATGGATGCAAAGAAATGCCTGGTGTGTGTGTGTGTTAAATCAGACAACCTAAGGTTCAAGTTTCTCTGAATGTACATTGTGTTTGAGTAAACATCAATTTTGTTTTATTTTGTAAACTATTAACGATAATTCTTCCAAATTCAAAAAAAAATGGCAAATAGACAATTACAGCATTTAAGCACAGAATGAAAACTCATCTAAAGTAAAATAGATTTTAGATGATCAGACATGTTTACATTCCTTTTAAGACTACACAAAAAATATGTTTTTACTACACAAGAATTAAAAGGCACCTATGATGAAAACCCACTTTTGTAAGCTGCCAGAACTGTGTTTTTTGTAGGTATATTGTGTCCACGGTCATATTGGGGTGATTTAATGACAAGAAGTAAATTTTTAATTTCCTGAGGTTAAAATAAGATCCAAATCCCTCCCATTTTGAGGCCCACCGCAACGTGACATAGGAGTGCAGTTTCCCCACCCACCAAATTGACTGACAGCTGCGTATAATCATGTCTCTGTAGTAACGCGTATAATCAGATCAACAAAACAGAACGTGTGCAAAGCAACTGGGATTAAAAGATCTGTTCAGCTCTCTGTGATCATCAAGCATCATCATATGTGAAGAAAAATAAGTTTTACAAGTTTAAAACGTTTTTAAAACAGTGCATATTTGATAAGAATAACAGCAATTTTACCATCTTTATCACCGCAGTCGCATGTCAGTATTGTAAAAGACGATGCTTCATTTCCGGTTTGTGTACATTAAATTAGGTTTATTTTGTACATTAACATAACACATATCCATACAGCAGCGGATATTAACGTGTATCCTGTCACAATGCCATGCAAAAACAGTGTAAAGTTAAACACGTGCTCCATGTGTGTGTGCCTTTGTGTTTGCGTGTACTTTGTAAAGACATTGTGTGTGACTCAACATTGCAGAAAAAGACATGCGCTATAGCTGAATTGAATAAGCTAAATTGCCCGTAGTGAAATTGTGTGAATGCTCTGTATGGGTGTTTCCCAGTACTGGGTTGCAGCTCAAAGGACATCCGCTGCGTAAAACATATGCTGGATAAGTTGGCGGTTCATTATGCTGTGGTGGCCCCTGATTAATAAAAAGACTAAGCCAAAAAGAAAATGATTGAATGAAAAGGCTGAATGTTTTGACATAAAATGGCACCATTAAAACCATTGAGAGTGAAAGACATATCATTGACTTACTAGTCAGATTTACTACACACTGAAACCATTCGAAAAACAAAGCTGAAAGAAAGTGTGTTAAATGTTTCAATAAAAACTAAAATGTAGCCGTTGCATTTGTTGTTTATTAAAAAAATACGTATTTACAACCGAGTAAAAGGCAAACCTGGTCACATTAGTTTACCACAAACACTCCAATAAAAAGAAACAAATTAAGTTATAAAATGTCAAATTGACGTGTTCAGCATCTGACTTGGTCATGGAATATAACAGTGTGCTTCTGAAAATTTGTTTTTAGTTTTTTTTTTTTTTTTACTGATTTCAGGTTTTTTCAGAGACATCCGAGTAAAACGTTCACTGCTGTGGTACTGTATATGCTGGATACCTCCATCCTTTCATGCGGTCACCTCTTCCCCATGATGAAGCTGGGCACTTCTGCATCATCATCTTTCTCCTCTCCTTCAGAAGCTGAAGATGACGATGACTTTTCAGAGTCTGCAGATAAATTCAAGTTCATTTGTATAGTGCTTTTTACAATAATTAGTTTCAAAGCAGTTTTATAATGGTGCACATTGTTGCATTACAATCTAATTAAGTTACAATCAGATATACGTTATTATATATAAACATATTTATCCTTTAGTTTTTATAGCATATAGGTGATGTCTAGCTGTACATGTT